TGAAGCTGACCCACGCCTATGCCATGGTTGATCACTCTGCGCAATAAGTGGAAAGTCGGATTTAGTTGGTGCGTTTCGCTACTGTCAAACTAACACGCTTCTTTTCCAGTCTGATTAAAAGACTGTAGCCATCATTTACATCAGGTTGGTTGGCGCCGAATCAATTCGGTAAGTACTCCTTTAAATACAAGTGAGGGTACATTAATGCCTAATGCAATGCTTTACGCCTGACACTACCGAACTGCCGCTTCATATTACAGCCAAATTTACGTGTAATTTTTGTTATCGAGTGAGGTGTGTATGACCTTGACAGGTAGTGTTAAAAATGCCGGGGGAAACACGCACTTAACCCACACAGACATTGTCAATCTATGCGACGAATTTCGCCAGCAAGACCTGAGCAAAGCGTGTTCATCGGGGGTAAATCAACAACAAAGTCGGTACTGGATAATGGTACTATGCACCCAAAATATAGTGTGCATTGACAATAAACACCTCAACAATACAGGTTCCAAGTCAGCATGACTAAAGCAGCAAGCGATTCGGCCCAAGGTCCGACAATGCAGACTTCAGGTTGCCGGGTACAACGTCGCAGAGCCACAGTGCACAGTATGCTTCTAGTGCAAGCGAAATGATTGGCTGTTTGCACGAATAAAGCATGTGCTGCGTGAGTGTTGAAGGAAAAGGTGGTCAATCTGATTGCAGCGTTCAGTAAGTTTGTTACAGATGCACTAGTATAGAAGAAGTGGTAAATAGCTCAGTAGAATTTGGCGCGGAACAGGATGTAAGGGCACATGGAGAGGTTAGGTAATGAGGTATATGTAGCGTGGGTTAAATCAAAGCGAATAACGGAAGGACTGACTACTTGTGGTGGTGTATGGCTAAGCTATCAAGTGAGATGAAAAGAAACACACATCACGGTAAACAAAGGAAGGAAAATACGATTCGTTGACTTGGGTCATTGAAGATGGGTTAGGATAAGTTGTAAGTTTTCCGCTCGAAGGAGCATACAGGGCTTAGATGAAAGGCTCATTAAGGAAGCGCATCACAATTCTCCTTGCATTACCCATTAAGCAGAGGAGCTTTATTATACAGACCTGTCATGTCCCAGGGTTACCATCCCAAATCATTCAACAGCATATGAAACATCATGTTTCAGTTGATGACCGTTGAGCTGCAGGTGGAGTAAGGGCTATTGGAAAATACCACATAGATTTTCAACAAACCTGGTGATCTCAGGGCAAAAATTTATCCTGTGAGACTACCACTACCTAACCTCCATACTTTTGATGCGGAATTCCATCGGCACTTCCTTGATAATCATGGAGGCTTTAGTTACCGCTTGTTAATGTTGCCCTACAATTATATGGTCCACTATTAGAAAGTGCTTACAGGCATGAAAAATATATGGCATAATTTTTAATTAGTATACGAAAGTATATTTTACAGTAAATCACAGACAAGTTAGCTATCCTCCAAGTTAACTTTGGCAGGCGATGGCGTCCAGTAGATAATCGCTCTCCCACTTAATGGGACAGCCTAGTAAGAGCATAGCAACATCGGAAGATCACAGCTGGAACCAATCGTTAGCACCACATCTATAGATACATAATGAAGGACATATGTCCAGCTGCGTCGGCCGATGACCGAGTGATCTGCACACTTGGCTTGCAATCGTAGGGTCACCGGTTTGAATCGGCGTGGGGGAGGGCTTCTTCGTTGTATACTCAGCCCATGCGAGACTGGCGGTGGTTGTACGGCAACGGTGCGCCTTTACGGTGTACAGCTGGCAAGTATCTTAACAATGTCCAGCTGCAATTTAGGCGACCTGCATTGAGCTGAAGATTGAAATTGATCGGATTTGTAGGTCGTGGTGGATTACAATAGAACAAAATTAAAACTAGTTAAAATCAGTCTTTGCTTGATTGAGACAATAGTTGTGGCGTGAAGTTCTTCTGCCTGTCTAGGTGGGTATGCTTTACTGGGATGACTATACTATGATGGCATATACCCCGATTGGAAGGTAACGCGATAGTGTAATACCATCATATGCAACTAACTGCATGGCTTATGACGTAGCCTGTATGGCTTTTTCCTTTTAAGGTTGCGATTTTCTCACCAATAGCTCCAACTGTCAAAAGGGCACTGTCGAAGAGTGCGCAAAAGGTAAAATTCGGCCATCGGAAATCACTGAACCGTGCATAGTTAATATCAGCTCAAAGCAGAGCGGAATTAAATGGTGATAGGGGCGAGTCAAAAATATCGAAGCTTACAATATTAAAAAGTTATTTCGCCCCAAGTGAGCCCCAATAGCAACAGCGACTGTCCCTCGCTTGAAGACCGATTCTCAGACGGCCCACGTGATGAAATGGGAAGCCACTCCTTCAGATCCGATAAAACGATTAGCGTGCGCACAACCTGCATCCCTCAATGCCCGGTTCTAGTTCACATCTTACCATACATTTGAAAATATAGGTGTCGGGCTCGGGCAGAGTCGTCCGTGTTAAGCTGGTATGTTGGGTCACGCTGCTCCTTGCACGCTTTGATCTACAAAGAAGGCTGTATGTAGATCAAGTGTAGTTACACGAGAAGTTGTGTAAGGTCTTGAAACGACATGGCAACAGAACACACAGGAAGACTACTGTGTTATAACATGCAGCAGAAGGTAGACTCGTGAAAGAAAATTAACCTCTTCAGAACCACTGTGTCCGTAAACGTGATATAGCTAAGCTCTGATATATATATATATATATGTATATATATTTAACGCGCGAATGGCATCGGCGAAGAAGTTGTGCTCTGGAAGCTCGGTGTGAAATACTAAATTCGGACGTCGCCTCGCCTCACTTTACGTTTATTGAGATGTCTGTGAGTGAGCTTAGGCTTTGAACGGAATTTCTCGACCAGAGCATGTTGTGGTTTAAGGTAGTTATCACACCCCAGGTTTGCACAATGATTTCGTTGGGCAGTTTAGGCTTCCAAAGTTTCGGCACCCGGCAACTCTTTATAATTTTACCAGAGTAAATATCTAACATTCATACACTTTCTAATTCTGCTCCCTACGAATGGCTTTACTCTCATTGAGGGTGAGAGCCTGTTCTTCGAGGCACTCATTGCTGGCTTGTTGAATGGAGCGAAAAAATCCCACAATGTGACATCGCCATATAGTTTAGCTAGGAATGAACAAATGGTTGCAGTAATGAGTAGGGTCAGAAGATCGGAAAAAGTTAAGGATCGTCAGTGTTCATAGGAGAATACTCTACCTAACAGATTTACATGAACCGCAGTGTCGCATGATCGGTGCGGTCAGAAGATAGTTTGTAGATGCCGCTTAGCACAGTGACTCCCCGTTCGTAACACGAGCTCCAAAATACTTGATTTTTCCATGTCCTGAATTTGGTGGGGGAAGTGACGTGGTTGCAAAGTGACTATCCAATGATTAGCTTCTGTACTTGCATTTTGAAGTGTTTATCGAGAGGCCGTGGTTTCTAGGACACAAAGAATGAGGGCAGCAACCAGCAGAACGTGGCTGGATGACTGCGCGAGGATAATCTTCAGAGTGGAGACAAGCGATTGTCCATTAATGAAGTAGACAGCAATTGGCGGTACATGACTCCCATCAAATATATGTCGCCATGTCTTGGGTGAAGATAGCGTGAAAGCGTGTTGACAATCTAAACCTACGCATCGTCGATGAGATCAAAGTGTAGTTCACTTCAATAATACAGAAGCACACTATCTATATTTGGTCAATCGTTGTACAGAATGAACATTCAAGTCAATTCTTAATTAGTCAATCGTCGGTCTGTGCTTGCGTAGTTCCAACTCCTAAGTCTTAAGACTACTCTTGGACATGTCAATGAACAAACGCCATTCATCACTGATATGCCTGACGCCAAGCTCCTTCATCAGTCCTTCCAAGCCTGAACAGTTTCTTCGGGTCATAGAAACCTAACCCGTTAACACCGCTTTCTGTATACAGTAACCTTACTGTATGAAGCAAGTACTTGCTACCGTTGCAGCCGAAATGCCAGCAACTCGGCCTTGTCTTTAGGTAAGTCCAGGTCACGTATCAAGTCATTCAGCGCTGATTGTTCAATAAGACGTGCGTTGACAACATCAGCTTCAGCGTTTTCATACATGTCAGAGTCAGGGGAAGTTGACGATGCCGAATCACTACTCATCATCAGTGTCATGTGCACCGGAGGCATGAGCATGGGTAAGGTGCAATCATGAGGAACAGGTCGAATAGATGATGAGAGATCGGGTAAACAATTTTGTCCATGTTTTGGTTTGAGACTCCAATGACACTGGTCAGGCAGATGGAGCAGTCTGTCATGTGATTCTTTCCCTCCACACCATGGGGATTGCAAAGGGCATCTTGCCTTTACCCTTGAGCCACTGAGTCAAATGAAGATTGCACGACGCACAAATAATATGCGGCGACCACTTCTTATCTTGATCTCTCAGTTTCATCCCGAAATATGCATGGTAGGCGGAATTCAGTAGTGAAGAAACGGGTCTGCCCTGTAACTTCGTAGTAAACTGTCCACAGACGCAACAAAAATGATTTCGGTCATCGACACAGCAGCGTCTCTCAGCCATGATCAAGATATCAATTAAGGAAACAGCTCTCAACCGAGTTTCAGTATCACGTGGATACCATGGCCAAGAATACAGGAAGCGAATGGTCCAATCACAGGAGAGAATTTAACACATGGAACACACTGCTTAGTTGAAATCAATAATTGAAAGTAAAGATATCGCACATGATGCAAACATTTGGTTTACATATTCGTAATCAGCTCACTTGGTACTTCTAGAAACATGCCATCGCATTTTTGTTATACAAATGAGGTTGCACAGTGTATTCAGCAAATGCCTAACCCGAATGGCACATACTCTACACTACTTCCTCTCAACGTATTTGGTTAAGTTCAGAGAATTAGCGCTAGTTAGAAAAAACGCAATTCTAACTGATTCCACTCATCCTTCAACAGAGTCACCGTCAATTTCGTTCTCACAACCCAAACAAGTCGCACTGATCGGCGTCTTGGAGAAGCGATTAACGTGCAATGTGATGGAAGCTAAGCCTGCAGCCACTGTTATGTGGTTGAAGGACAACCAACCGATTGATTTCAGGAGCTCTGAAAAGTACTTATTGGATAAATATGACCTTGTCATCAACGACATAACGGTAAGTGAAACAAATTTATTATTTGGTCCCCACTGTCATGCAAAATTTGCGTCTAGCCGGGTCAGTACGGGCATGCAACTGACTGCCTCAGTCTGATCAAGTGCGTACTTTAAAGAAATTACAAGGTAGTGGATAAGGATGAATCGTAGGGCGATATTCGCTTTTAGAGTAGGATAGGATTAAGCGCTATGTGCATACGGATTGAGCGTGGGGCGATCAACAATACGCATTTGCAACCATAATTCTGTTGTAAGGAAATGCAGAGTAATTATTATGTAATATAAGCACGTTGATGTTAAAGCTGAGATTTGCTTTTCTCCTTAAGGTGCGGACTTTGTGAGAATCGACCATATATACCACTTAAAAAAGTTTTTCTTAATAACTAGAAGTCTCTTTAATCTAGTAACTGTTACACAAATAGCTCCTCTATCCAAAAATTTGATTAGCCATGACTTAAGTACAACCCTGGTTGCACGATAGGCATTAATTGGGTAATAAATTGCACTTACAGCTCTTGTGTACGCATATTTATTCAGCGCTTTCGCTTATGGTGCTCCAACAATAGTACGCCATCATGTGTTTGTCTCTTCGCTGATAAGGTACTTCCATCGTTAGTAATTCTCGATGAATCGTGCTTCGTTCTCGTCACTTTTTGACCCAAGAGGTATTCGATCAACATAGCTGTACAAGAATAGCTTGATGTTCATAGTGCACCCAAAATGTGAAATGTCAACAATCTGATAAGAAGTTTCACTTTATCGTCTTATTTTCTGTCCCCAAGAAAGTTACGTATAACTGCTACAACTGACCGCCACGCCCTCATTTCCTTGGTATTCGTCTTTTGGACCAGTGGAAACATTTGAGGGTCAGCGAAAACATCACCCTTATCTCCATCAACTACAGCGACGGAAAGCCGAAATTAAGAACTGAAAACCTTCGCCATCATCATCTAAAACTCATACAAACTGGTCCAGCAAACCAACTTTCAGATGCGATGGTAGAGATCTGATTATCTTTCTGCGAATAATTGGATAACGCGCAATGTTTGACATGCTAACCTCTAAACTTTCACTTCTTGGCCACTCCTACTGTGTTCAAGATTTCTCCTTAGCTAGATTGTCCCATATGCACAAATGTGGAAACGTTGTGTGGCCTGTCTGCTGACCAAGTAGGAAGCTTACCAACCTGAGGTCAGCGTAAAGGATCCAATTAACAGAGTTCGTAGCAACAGTTTCCAAATGGGATAGTCTTCTACATGCAGGTGAAAGCACTTGACTGAGGTTTCACCCTGTTCGACGAGGCCCAACAGGTCGAGAGTACCGTCTGGTGCGATTACGAGCATGTGGAGATCTATCCGCTAGGACAAGCTGTCAACTGATTATATCAAAGACCCTTACTTATGAGTAGTTAAATATCTGCTGCTCAGTCTTCACATATTGCAACCAATTCATGTAACTAGGCCTTATCTTCAACACATGTGCCAACCAACAGACATAACACCATGATCAATCCCGTTCTGTCTCGACTTGATTTTTGCGCGCTACGAACCAGTGAGTGACGTTCGGATCCTGAAACCCCTGGCTACAAGCGACCACTCAGCTCTCATAACATATATGGAATTAACTTTGCCGTGTTCAGGTTCGCTGGAGCCAGCTTACAACGACTGGAAACCGACTCCGACGGTCTAGCTCAAGCTGCGAGGCAACTGGATTTGTCCCTGTCACAAGCTGCATCTGGACGACTGTCGGATATTTATAAAGAGCGATTAACGTCATTAATGACTATTACTATTACTGTCTCGTAGGAAATGAGGGCCGTATGATTACTTATAAGTTAGGAATTCACGTTTTTTTCTTCAAAGTCACGGACTCAAATTCCCTTCATTTTCGATTCAGTGGTTAGAATATGGAACCACTAGCACACATCGGGCAGTCGGATACTACGTTACTGATAAGCTCGTAAGAAAGGAACGGCTAGTTAGTTTTTTCCGGAATGCACAGTAGCTGTGTGAACTAGTGTAGCTGTGAAGAATCTCCGAAATATCCTAGGCGCAGACATCAGAAACAAGTTGGGGAACAGGCTTGCTTCCGGTGGATCTCGTTAGCCTTATACATCACAACTGATAGGAATGGAGTAAGCAAAATACCTCAAATAATGACAGCGCTCAAAGGTCTAGGTTCTCTAAATGTCAGCGCTAGGTGTTTGGTTCAGAAGCGGTCAAGGACATGTGAGTGACATGTTCCCCAACATGGGTCATTTTGGCTAGGGACCAATGTAGACAATGGAACTGTACAAATCACCTTTGCGCATACAAATCTGGGTTCTAGAGACGTATAGCAATCGCCTCGGCTGTTACTAGTAAGCGATATCTTATAACTCAAATGTGCCGTCTAAGTTCTCCGCAAATGGGTTGGAAATACTGGTGGATATTAATTTGGTGATTAGAATTAACTAGATGTGCCATCACGGCATTCGTCACTGTTTGCGTCCCACCACTACACAGCCAAGCAGGGTAATGCCCACGAATTCTCTCAGATAGTCTTTTGATGGTTCTTCCGATATATCTTACTCGACATGAACAAGAGAAGGAGTATAAAGAGAAACAAGCTCTCGTCCGAGGAAGCCTGTGCTTGGCGTACTGCCTCACGATTGATTTTGTAGTAAAGGTTAACCGTAATTTTGCTGCGTGGTAAGTATACTCAATGGCGTCAGATAGCCTTCGGGAAGTTGCGTGCTCTTTTCTATACGCTTTGAACAGTAAAGTAGCTAAACCACTTTCTGACCGATCAAAATTGTGTTAACTCTCGTCTCTCGGCACTCCTAATAAACTTTTTGGATAATTATTTCTCTCGAAAAGGTCACTCAAGAAGTTTAGCACATCTAGTAGCGTGCCCTGAGTAGAAATCTTTCTGACTGTTTCGGGCAAACACCTAATTAAGTTTCGTTTCAGATTTAGTGTGACAAAGCTGGCAGAGTGTATATACTGTCCGCTTCACGTTGCTTTTCTGTTCGCCCTCCGTTGGGTCGACCCATCTGATCTTCTGCCAATCTGGACGTCTAGGAAGGACATCGTACCATTGTGTTCGGATTCAAGGGTACGCTGAATTAAGATGGGAGAAAATTTGCTCTGTGCAACATTGACTATGTGGTGCAGAAAATACATCATACACGTTGGTTATTTTGTAATATTGATAAGCGGTATGGCGGGGGCAAATCAAATAAACATGAATACAATGTTGTCTATTGAAAATTCAATCTAGGGCTCCTTGACTTGACTACACGTTTTAGACAGGAACACGTGAGAGAGTCTGTGGGGTTTAAACGAATTCTCTGAAGTGATTTATGGAAACTTTTGTCTTCAGGCTTTCTGGGTTAGTGGTAACATGTGTAGGTTCTTGACTTAGAAAAAGCTTCCGACTGGTGCAGTTAGGCAACGACTTGGATATTCCCGACTTCCAGGGATTCTGATACATCGTACCAATAATCCGATTATATCTAATTGCATACTGTTTGAATGGCACTGCGCAGTCTTCGTTTTGTACTACATATTAAAGTTTTTATACCATAAATCAGTTTCGCTTCCTATAACCTGAGAATTAGGACGATTAGTTTTCCGACCTCTCAAATGGGTCATCATAATTAGCAAGTATCTCTAGTAGCACAAATAATTCATGGACGTAGCCTACGTACTTTTACATATCTCCCGGTTGATACTGATGTCGTGGCCAGTATAACGCTGGTGGCAAGAGGCGTTAACATTTAGTCTGCTTCGCGAATCAATTTACCCATCCGGCGACAGGTGAAAGACGCCATAATAGCTTAACATTTGCTTCGGTAGTTACTCCAGCAAGACCTGGATAAAGTTGGTGTTGACATTCAATAGAATCACCGACAGTGTGCACCAGTTCTATAGTTTCCTAAACCAGCTACAACGGATGTACACCTGTTAACCTTTTTAAATTGCGTGTGTACTCGCTTAACGACGGCATCAGCTGTAAAACTAGGCATTGATGTGATTGTTGCTTGTACTGCAACTTTTTCGGTGCTTTCGGTAATAGAAAGTGCTGTTCAGAGAGCTGCGCATCGTGCATATAGCGTCTAGACACGTCTTATTTTCTACAAATTTTAGGCTGATGACGAAGGAATCTACACCTGTATTGCACGGAACGTTGTCGGAAAAGCCAAATTCGATATTGAGCTGGATATTCAATGTAAGCTTGGGCCCATCCGATTTTCCAACCACTGCTGGATACCTGATAGTGCATCGAAAAAATCTAACGTTAGTTGTTGTTTTCGTTATTTTAGCCAAACCGGTGTTCCAAGATCCACGAACCGGACAACGAATCGATGTGACACAAGGGGATAATCTAATTCTCGAATGCCAAGTGGAAGGAGACCCGAAACCTATTGTGGAGTGGAGAAAGGATGGTAGGCAAATTCTACCTCACTCACCTGGCACCGCGGCTGAGCACGGGTTTGCTTCCTCAAATGGGATTGGTAGTCCTACAGTTGTCGTATCCCATGATGGATACAGGTTGACCATCTATTCTGTCACTGAAGCCATGACAGGCAGCTTCACTTGTTCCGCAAAGAACAGTCATTCGGTGGAGACGAAAGAGTTCCAGGTTTCTGTCAAGAGTAAGAAGCTTCTATTTAGACAATTGGGTTATAATCATTAGCCAATTTCATCGATTTCTATTGCATAGCTTGAAAACTGGAATTGATAAACATCAAAATACTATTGTTTACTTTTCTCACAGTCCGTGAGTTCATATTCTTTAACATTAGAGCGCATGCTGCTTGATCTAGCTGACCTACATTTAGTGGTTAGTTCAGATTCATATTTCGAGGTAGACGATGTACATGATCGTGTTATTTCATCAAGGTGCAGTAGAAATTTATGCTTACTTCTTCTTCATCATAGTAATGGATCGCGTTTGAAACCGAATCATTAGAAGGATTTTTGATATAATAATCCCCACAGATTAAAATACTTTCTTCGTCTAATTTTATGATCTCCCGCTTGACAGCAATGAGGAATATTACTTCGTTCAAACTTACTTGCATATATTACCACTTCGAACAGATTCCCACACTCCAACTTTGATACAACTTTCCAGTTTCTAGCACACTCAGGGTTAGTCCAGGTTAGCAACAATATAAATAAAGTCTATGAGATTTTAGTCTGAAGTTGATGACAAGCTTGCTTCAACCAGACCAGAAATCATGCTCATGCTCAAAGCAGGCCTCCCAAAACATAATGTTTTCCGGAAAGTAAAAAAATGGTTGGTTTTACTCAGTACACATCATCCACTCTCTCTGGTAGATCTAAGATTTTAAAAAATGTACACCGTCAACCGTACTCAGTATAACTGCTGGGAAATATAAGCTGGTTTGGTGGTATGAAGTAGTATTCTTAAGTAGTATTACGTAGTATATTCCTGGGCGGTGTGAGGCACAGTTCAACTTGGAGGTTTGATCAATATGTAAATCAGGATCTCATAAAATAACTAATTGTCCACCTTGCATACGATGTATCCAAAACAGATTTTTAAACTAATAGGCAGATTAAGTTATTAGAGAAATTGTGAAACTTGGAACACTAATAAATGCAGATTTAACCGATGGTTCAATTAACGTAATATGGCCACCCGTGGAACCATCCCCAGTCGACCTGCTTCCAAGCAGGGTATTCTCTCAAAACTTATAGTAGCTGCAACCGTATCACCGAAACCCTAGGAATTAGGTATAAGTGATGCAACCCAGTAACTGCTACCGTTGAGAATTTAATGATATTTCGAATTCGTTCTATGGGTACTATCTTTTGTGCATTTAGCCAACACGTTCAGGCACCCGTGATCGCTTAGATAGGAACACCGCGTCTATATACGCACACAACCACTGACACGCGAGCACACACATACATGCTTTGCCGACCCTCCTATGATTCATACCCGACATACGCTTTAAATAACAGTGACTTGCCTGTCATACAATTATACACGGTTTGCGTACAAAACACTCACTTCGCACTGTAAAACATGATAATCGCTTCAAGTCAACGGATATGAGCTTGCATTCTCTACCGCGCCATAACATTCTGAGTCTAACAGTGTGGGACACACTTATTTGACCTCGCCTATGCGCAAGACAGCCTCAGCTGCAAGGCGATCGGGTTCATCTGCGTTAGTAACTGTATCTTATATAAATGGACTCTATCAAATAACCCTATGCTCAGGCGATCGAAATCATGCGCTCAGTTTATTAGATGGCCAGGAATAGACGTGTCCTGCGTCCTACTTTCTAAAAAGTGTTTCACTAATTATTGCATAACTTTAGAGCAGTTTTAGGACAACTCATAATAATGGATGATTGAAAACGCCCTTAGGTAATTTTATTTTTTCACACGCCCTCTGATCTAAACCAAGGCAACCGTTTTTTATTGAAGCACTTTTACCGACGGTAACCTACGTTAGTGACAGGTACCTCGCTTGCATCTATCTGCTCCCAGGATAGTCACTTGTTAAACGAGTTAAACCTTCCACGAATAAACAAGTACTTTCCTCGGATTACCGCTGCATAACGCCCTTCCTTTTCAGCGCCACCGGTCATATCAAAAGACGGACCATCAGAATTTGAATTTGGCCAACAAGAATTTGCTTTGCTGAGTTGTTCCGTGATCACCGGCCAACCATTGGCCAAGGTCAGTTGGTTCAAAAATGGACAGCCGTTGGCCACCATCCCGGGTCGAGTCACGCTATTGGATGATGGGTACACATTGGTGAGTCAATGAACAATGATTCATCATGGGTAAAATAGCATGTGGTTGACAAGTCCCGTAGGATGGATGGAGTAAAAATTAACAGTTGAAGGATCATCGAATAAGTAAATCGTGTTTTCGGGAGGGCAACCCCCAATTTCTATTTAAATCGTTATTTCAAGCGTTCACCGAGTTAAATGCACTACCGCATAGCGATAGTTTTAATTGGGAATGGGATGTGCACCCGCAAAATAATGTAGAGGGTCGTTATAGTTTAGTAAGTGCGTGAGAAATAAAAAAGAAATGACAACCTTCACTCGTTTGTTTCTTCATTTGACAAATATGATAGGTTAATCCAGCTTAGTCACATCCAGGCTAATCACATGGACACTACTGCATGTATCCTCACCGCCACGTTGCGGAGAGGGCCGTTAAGCACATAGTTAGGTTTGCGTTGTTTCGTCCTCCAAGATGTTAGCATATTCCCCTTAACAGCATGCGCACTAGAGCTGAATTACAGGCTTAACTACCCGTTTCCATCTCACGCTCATTAAAATGGACTTGGTTTCACCACAACGTTTCGATCATATATGCCGATGACCAATTTACAGCATCGCTTATGCATGTTTCTGGCTCTAGCTCATGTTGCAACATTTTGGCCACCAAGTATCGCCTGAAGAAACAAGTAGTCTACTCTGAATTGCCCACCGCTTCTGCCTGTTACGTTATTTTTTGTCACCGATTTCATCTGCTGGATCTCTCAGCGTTTTTGCTTCCATCATGCTGCCAATGGCTTCCGATCAGCGAACATTAGCGAAAGTTGAAGGCTAAGCCTAGTGTCATTTTTAAAACAAGCATGTCGGCTTTACACTTTTCGATTCAAGCTAGGAAAGAATGTTACAATAAACCCTTGCGAGGCTTATATCCAACTTGTAATCCATCCTGTATTGAATGGCGGTACAACCGCGCTATGATTTACTGTCCCGGTAATGCTGTGGCTCTTAAGGATTTATGCCGTGTTAACATTGCTTTTATTCATCACCGGAGTACCTTGTAGGAAATTCAAATTCAGACTGATCAATAAGCATCTAATCTATCTGCTATCTTTTGGTAGCAAAAGCCTCATAAGCGCGCTTGTGTGAAGCTTTGTTTTCTATCGGTGGAATGTGATGAAACTTGTTGGCCTCTGTTTAAGCTAGTTTGTGAAGTAATTCTTGCAACCCTACGTAGCGTTTATCGCATAAGGAAATCCTGCTATTTGCTAAATTTGATTAACTGGGTAGCTAACAGTTATCCAGTTAGTGTGGTATTTTATTCCGCTGTAGTGTTTTACCTATCTTCATTATGGTCTTTTCACTGTAGGAAGTTCGTGGGCAGGAAGAGTCAGACTCCGGATCGTATGAATGTCGGGTGGAAAATGAAGCTGGTTACGATTCCCGATTCTATCAAGTCACTGTTCTTGGTAAGCGATGCTATGCACCTTACGCAGTAAATTTTGTGAGGCGTATGTCAACATTGGGTTCACCATACCTGCAAATTGCTTACATGCGCATAACCGGTTAATATTATGGCAACTGTTTCCTGTTCTCTCTCAATATTGATCATTCTTCTGTCACAACGCAGCTTTAACGTAGGAGAAATAAATATCACGGAGCAGGCAAAATAGGAATGGGACTCAGCAGCATGTCAAGAGCAATTCGCGCTAACAGATACACATTTAACACCACTTCTCATCCGATGACCTCGACGGTGGACAGGAAGAGGGAACTGTAATTAGGTCGGTTCGGTAACACAATCCACTTGGTAGTGGGGTGGAGCGGTTCCGTGTTGCACTTAAGGTTGATAAACCGCTCGCACCGTCTAGCACAGCTTCATTAGTGTAAAACCTGAGTTTACCCAACCAAAGGTGTACAGCGTCCATCATAATACTGCTTTGCCGCGGAGCTCAAAGCTGCTGTGTTTAAAGACTAGTAGTCATCTGAATGAGTCAAGGTTGGCAGGCCCCAGCTGGTAAGTTTCCAGTAGAAAGGACATGTCTCAATACTGCTTGCATTTACTCCTTTGATATTGGTATCAATTACCCATTAAATTGAAGCTTAAAGCAAGTGGTGGTTTACCTCGCTCTTACACAGGAACTGTTGCAGCACAGAATACATGTGCTATATAAGGCCAACCGGCAGCACTAGTAGAGATATAAGTTGAAGTAGGGCGATTCCAATCTCAACTGACGGATACAAACAAGCACTCCGGTCAAGTACGGCTTGGTTAGTCGCGGTGCACCAGTTTCCGAGTAACCCGACTACCACTGAGTCTGTTTTGTTGCACCCGCTATACCAATTGAGTAACTTCATTCAGGGAGACGCTATTTCACAAAACGTTACGGTTACGCCGCAAGTTATGTGAGTAGGGTTTAGTAGGATCTCGACTTTGGGGAGAAAATCATTTTACGTCGGTGCCTTCAATCACTCAAAGCGGCAAACTAATGCACCTTGCTTTTTGGAAATCGCGCTTGGAAATTAGTCTTACTATCTGATTCTGGGTGGAAAAACATCAAGGTGCACTGAAAGAAACAACAGAAACACTGAAAATATTTGTGTTTTCGCTGAACAAGTTGGAAGTAACTTTATGTCCACCGTGTGGCATGTCTGATGCATCAGGATGCATACAGAGATTCCGGGATTACACTTTCGAGAGGCTGTAACTCCAACAGACCAATCTTACGTGCCTGAAATGGAAGTAGAAACAGGACGTTTCTCGTTTCAAAAACAGGCTGCTCCCATGAACGGTCAAGTTAGAGTCTATGTATATTTTATTCGTTTGGAAATACATTGTGTAAGATGGATAAGGAATTAGTGAACAGAGTTTGTGACATTCTGTTATTTCCATTCCAACCCATTGGATGGAATTTCCAGAGTCATCATTAGTGACCCTACGTGGTGTTCTCAATTGAGGTTACCAACTGGACGAAGTTTTTCGCTACATGGGGGTAAAGGTTTGTCCGCTGTGTTATGCGACATTACAACAAGTTCACCTTAAATCTGGCATTTTGTAAACTAAGCTGGACGTTTTACAAACCAAACTAGGTGTTTTGCAAAATAAACTGGTCCCGTCGCACAGTTGCACGGGCTCTTTTTTGTTTACCGTGACCTCATACTGTGGGTTGAATGGGTCGTCGTTCCTCCGAAGCATCAGATGTCGCTTTGAGCAGACGTATGCTACTGGAGTAAGCCAAACGGTTAAAGGTGAGAAACGCAGTGACACAGTTGGAAGATGAAGGGTTGGTGGACAATCTCTTTCAGCCCACACTTGACGAGTCGAACGTTTAAGGCGACATGTGCGAGTATAATGTGAAAGAACGTTGAGGATGTGGAATGAAAAACGCACTTGACTGCCTATCCTCATTCAGCCGTCACTTGTGATGGGAACTTAGTTTGTTTCAATAAAAATTGTGGAATAGTCTAGTTCCTGTGTTAAACCACATAAGTTTTACTCAACATTAGCCTGCCTGAGTTCGACAGAATGGGTGTAATACGGCCAATACGGTTGGACTAGTGTGGTCCGTTGCTTCACTTTATGCCCCCAAACTTCTGGACGGCGGAGCATATGCTATCCCGCATCTAATTCCCAGCCTCAAGTAGTACATTAGGCATTTGTGTGCTAGATGTGATGTTCGAGACTTCTACCACCTCACAAATCCAATAAACTGTAACCCGTTTCTTGGGTGGGTGACATGCTCAAGGAACGATTTCATAACGGACTAGACACATCTCAGTAAACTGCTTATACACAACTGATGTGCACATTTCTTCGAATACCACAATAAATTGGTAACTCACAGGAACCCCAGACGAATCGAATACTCACAGTGTGAGAAAACACACAATTATGAGAGGTGCCTCTTCACCATCTGGGCACTAGTAGGATCCTGTAGCCCCTGTCTTGTGTATACCCACTGGCGATTATTTTTGAGGTTATGCGAACTTGCTTTGAAACATTCTTGGCTCATCTACATGTCTGCTGATTATATTTATTTACGTTCATTCCGGATGTGATATAAGGCATCTGCGGTCTCAGCTTCGTTTGCACTTCCCTTGAGGAAGATGACTCATCAGCTATTAGCACCCGGAGCGGTACTTAAAATCGAATGTTTCGACGTAACTAGTGCAGTCAGCTGATACGTAATGGAACTAACTTAGTACTATAGCCCGGTAAGGTGCAGACATGGGAATCCGTTGTAACTCTAGTTATCCCTTCTCTGAAGAAGGCTAAAATTCTTGTCGTAACGTTTTGTTGCTCCACTGCGACCATAAAGCTACCAAAGTCTGGCCATTTCTCTAATGCAAGAGGAGCATCAAGGATGTAAATAAAGGGGAAAAGTATCTTGAACAAACTGTGACTTTCTTTGCACTGGTGCCACATAGAATCTTTTTCTTCCCTATGGTCCTTGAGTGGCTGTTCAAATGCGTTCTCCGTTGAAATCCGGATGAGCCGAATGACTTTGGTTACAACTAAATAGCGGAAATTTATAAGTAAATTCCCGTTTGTTCGCTTCCATGAAGCTTTTTCAAGTTGACCGTAGCCGAAAAAGACAAGCGTCCACCCAACGCCTCTTTCTCACTGTACATCTGGTAGATGAATACTTAGAAATTGGATTTAAATGTAGTATTCTAACCGAGGTTGTGAACAGAGTCCAAAATTAGCGTCAACACGTCGCGCGCAATTCAAGCAACGCCAAGATCATGAGGCAGTTCGAAATGCAATCGACTTTGATGCGGCATTCCTTACCGCTTAGCCCTGCGTGCGCATAGTGTCAAACCTATGGTTGAACTAGCTATTTTCTCTTACAAGATAACTTAACTGTGTACGGGAAAACCTATGTTGACAACCTCTTTCCATACACACGATTGATGCCATCCTCCTGCTATCTGCACCACGGCTACTACACTCCATGCTATGCTATTTGACTGTTGAATCAACTAAAGTACCTTTAACACTGAAACCATGAGCTGCAACACCGAAAGACCCCGTACATCAGTATGACCCGTAGTAGTTATTTTCCGTGACCGAGAACTGAAGTTCAGAGATCTCAGCTAGACATGGATCATTGAAACCAGTATAACACAACTTAGTAATCACCGTTTATCACTCAACCCATATTTAACAATTGTACTTGTTATAATGTGCTATGTGCTTTCCTTTCTTCGAACTAAACACGTTCTATAGACAAAACTTATCTCGAGGGAATTACTTGTGTTATAAATCCAATTTTGTTTGCTCATGTCAGCGTAAAACTGTAAGTTCGTGCTTATCATGTGTTGAGGTCCTGATGAACGCAGTGGGTAGTAGCATTTCCACAGGTCTTCTGCCACCTTGAATGACTTCTCCCGCTCAATATTGTTAACATTACCGCTCTCCGATAACGCCTACCATCCAATCGTATAAGTGCCAACAGTGACCATATTCTCCTTTCGTATTATTTATAGTGCCACCCACAGTGACTAGCGGGGAGCTGTACAAACGCCGTCTAGTCCACTCAGGGGAGCGTATCGATTTGCAGTGTGGTATGACTGGGTACCCGGAACCCAAAATCACCTGGCAGTGGAATGGACAACCTCTCTCTGGGAAGCATTCCGTTAAAGAAGGCGTTGCGTCTGGCCTTGGCATTCAGCTAATCCCCAAGAGTCCGGAACAGACAGACTTGCTTATTCAAGAAATGAGTTCGACCCTCCAGGGCAAGTAAGTCCCGTTATTACTAATCGTCCCTACAAACATCAAAGAAGTGAGCGTTCACCGGCTTGATTGGAGGATGGAACCAATCAAAGTGTTGACCACCAACCGACCATAAGCTACAGTAACCCCATCGAAACGCATCAGCCTTCCTTTTTCCTCAATCTTAAGTTACCTGCACCAGAGGAAGTAAATGCGTGAGTAGAACCCATTCGCCCTAAACAGCTAACAAACATGTATTTGAATTCAATTACAAATGTATATTTATCATGAGACAGCTTACAATGATACCTGCCAGAGACTAATGTGTCAAAACACCTTAATTGACCCATGTAACTCCCAAGTGCACAAACCAAGGTTTAAAAGATTCACTTATATTTACTAATAAAGTAACAGCTTTCCCCTTCACTTTGTAGTCATGTCACAATTAGCTATTTATACTTTATTACGTTGGGATGATCCTAGTTATCAAATAATATTGAAGTTTGTAAGCCGTCAAGTGACACTGCCTCTCATAACCCTCCCTGGAGGAAATGGATTTCCCAGACTTATAAACTCAGTCTCCACGTAGGCGGTTCATATCTACCATACCGAAGTATTTAACCACGCAGTGCAACATTTACAACCTCCTTCACATCACTTTGATCGGCATTATGAAGAGTTGGATGACATACGATCTATTGCATCGCAATTCATAGATTCCTGCATTCGTAAATGGCCGTGCAGAAAGCCATGGTATGGTTATATTCCAACAATGCATCCCGTGAATACACTTGTATTACATCATCGCTCTCTGCCATACGTCTATGTAGGCAGTGGTTTATAACATCGTTTAAACTCTGGCCGTTCTAGGAATACTGCTGACGGCGTTATCACGTCAGTTTGAACCCAGCTCTTCGGCATTCGTTAAAGTGTTTGAATTGTAGTCCAGCCTTTAGACCGTCTGTTCCCCTACTTACGGCCTCTCTCAGCTGTCAAAAATCTATCTCTCCTTGTGAGAGATACTACAGTCTGCCAACGCTAGACCCACCAAGATGTCGGGTACCTATCTTTTTAACTATGTAGTTCACACTTAAAAGGACAATTGTCAACCCTGTATGGTACTGTTAGTCTGCTTTTTCGGCCACTAATAGCAACAAAAGATATCGGCTGTAACAACTGTCCTTTGCACTAATGGATAGAAAGTGTACAACAATTTAGCGCGACACTATTGCACTTGACATGGGTTTCTCGTTTCTCCCGATATGCAGTTCAAGCAACAGCGTTCGTTTAGCTGTGATTCACAACTACTCACGACCATAATGCGGAGTCTGGATTTAGAAGGGTTTCTGCACATCAGTTAACGTGAAACGTATGACTGTGTAGGTCGCGGTAGCCGAAAGTTTCATCTCAGTCCTTTTCTAACCTCATGATATGGAAAAGCGGTAATTGCTCGAGCCACGTTTACACATATGGGAGCAGCAACCCATTTCACCTTCAAGCTTATAACATTTTAATAACCCCATGTGAAAACCCCCTGAAAGTTATTCGTGGCAGTGCTGCAGATTGCCGACGAAAAAGAATGCATCTCTCAGACGGAAAAGTTATTTGTATCCTGCTATATCCGGTGGCTAGCATACACATGTCAAGCTTATCTTTCATCAACTAATCAGTCGGACATTTTCCTAATTTTACAAAGATATATTTGCTGAATTTTAGTTAACTTTTTCTTAAAATCGCCCTCGCTACTAAAACAATGGAAATCGGCTACACCCCCTTGAATTTTGGCTTCTCATTTCAGTTACACATGCATCGGTATTAACAAAGGAGGCTCAACGGCGCTAACGTATGAGCTACTTATTCTTGGTAAGTTCAAAATCTACTGCTTGTAAATTAGAACCAGATTCACGTAACTGGTTACTTCTTGCGGTCGCAGCGGCTGTCGTCAACTGGGGTATCAGTTCCTGTGACCGCTGTTTATCGATATAAAATTGAGGCTACCACGGTTGCTTGAAGAACGAATTTGTTTTGGATTAGTAAGTTAAGCGCAGGAATCGATAACGTTTGCACCTTGGGATGGGAGTAAATATCGTAAAGTATATCCAGCTCCTATTCACCTTGCCTTCGAATTACCGATCAAAACATAAAGGTATCTGCAGCGGTTTACTATTTCTACTCTTTGCTTCAAGAGGTGACTCCACTACCTGTTTTCCTCTTCTTTCTTCTCTCACATTCGCAGAAAAACCAAGCATCGACAGCTTTAACGAAAAAGCTGTGGTCTTTGTAAATAATACGATCACCTTAACGTGCGAGGCTACAGGCAGTCCTCCACCAATGATAAGGTGGTTCTTTAAAGGACAACCCCTGCAGGCAGACAAAGGCGTTGGAGGATATCGGTAAGTATGATGGTATTCTGTCTGCTGACTTCAAACAAAGCATTATATCATACGGTTGCATGATGTGGCATTTATTTTTCCTAATCAAGCTCAATGGTCAACCAGTTACGTAAGATTTTGCAGCACCAGTGAAGATTGCACTTAAGGTTTTTAAGATAGCAATTACGGTGTTTAAGTCGAAGGAAGATAACTCAGGAATCAAACCCCAAAAGCTAGCCAGTAGGGGTCTACATCAGGGTAATCGCTTCGCCATAAAGTTCCTCCAAAAGCGTCTGTTTAGCGCCTCTTCTGCATGGTGTTTACAGTTGTTTTTGGATGAAAAAGACCTCATCATCGGTCATCCGAAGAATAAGGTGTCTTATCCTACATGAATGAGTGGTAGTCATCAGTACTATTACTTATGTTACTCTTCTATTGCTGTTGCCGTTGTCCTTTCTTATTGTTACCTCCTTTTGATGTTACCAAAGTCAGGTGAGCTGAACCCACTACACTTCGGGTAGCAGACTTCAGAGGCATAGCTGAATTTGTTGAGCCGGATTGTTTAAGCGGCATATAAAACTGCCTTGTATAACTAACAATTCACTGATTTCAGTGGATTAGTTTGCTAACAGCAAAATTTTCGTTGCGCAGGTAAGCCAACTCAGAAAAATGAATGAATTGTGCTTCGTTCGTACTGTTCTCACTATCAGTTGACTTCGGGGGGATGTTTCCATGGGACTGAAACCCTCCTTTAAGGTGCGAATTTCCGCACAAGATCGCGTGTCCCGATAGCGGCAAACTTTCCGACGCCTGGCTCTGAACGCTGACCGACCACTTGTGGTTATAAAGAGCCCAGGAGTAGTATACGTTACAATGACAACAAAATACAGTTAGCTGCAAGCGGAAGGTTAGCTAACACTCAACGCATCCCTCAGGTACTGATGTATCCGTGTGGCTATGTAAACTCACAAAAACACACCGATATGGTGGCTGCACCGTAAACACACGGTACACTGGGACATATTGTTAAGCATTTAAAAATGCAAAATGATTCCACATTAGTCACTCCATCATGGAAAACCGGAACAAACGTTAGTGCCAGCTAGATACCCGGCCATCTATATTTCGTAGCTTGGTCCGTTAGGGGATCATTGTTTAAATGACTATGTTACGCAATCCGCCCATCCACGAATTGGCGTCAATCGGAAGCTGGTTATCGACATCGTGGGATTTGGCAACGGTCATTTTCAGACACTTCCATGTGGCGCATTTGCAACTGACAGAAATAGAATTCCGACTTTCGACATCATGATTTTATTCTTTTAATCCTAACCCAGATGAAGCAGCGAACCGTGAAAACTTTCACGTCAGCCGCAGAACTGACACTAAATGGACTCAGTGAATGACGATACATGGGCGACAGGACTGATTTTATGGGCTAACTGTTTCGTTATCTTCCTGAATCCCTTTCAGTTTCGCCGAAGTGATTCTTTTTGAACTCTTTGGATAGCCTATTAATTTCATTCGTAGTAGTGTCAGTGTGGGATATGTCTACAGTAAGGTGTAGCTGGTCAACCGGAAAGTAGTATGCTTTAAAGGTCACCCTTCTGTACTTGAAGGTGTTAGTTGATTCGACGGACGCACAAATCTCCTGGGTCCTTCAGTGAAAAGAATCGCTTGTGCTGAGTGATGCGGACACATGGATAGTGTTGTGGAAAAAACCAAACTAAAGGGGCTTAAATACACAAAAGAACTCCCAGTCTAGAAAGTAAGAATGTTGCACCTGACCTTCTTTAAAGTACAATCCTCGGTAGGTATCAACTAGTCGTACAATCAGGTTTGGAAGACGATACTTAGTCAACACACTTAATCGACGCGGTAGAACCGATGATCAATGAAAGAGGCAAGTGGACTGATGATCAACAGCACAACACGTGTAGCCGAAACCAGAAGTCGAATCGGAATTTGAAAGTGCTTTTTCAGTTTTTAGGTAGTTAGAATAAAACCGTACAATAAAATATTTGAAGCGTGAACAGGAAGGTACAATTGGAAAGATAGAATTGTACAATCGCTACCATAGAGTACCATCAACTTGGTATAGCCACTAATTATAACACACCTAGGCGAAGACGGCCACCTCTTGGTTTCCGACGACATTTGCATCTTACGAAGAACGCATTCTCTACTCAACCGTTTCCGTAACCTCTACCTTACCGTCTTAAGTGCTGATGTTCTCTATCCTCATTGGAGCAAAAACCAGTGGTCTTAATCTTAAGCACCGCCGAATAACACTTAAGCGGAATGGAGGGCAACATTAACCAACAGGACTAGGCAGTTCAGCGGAACAATGGCTTACGAAGGGAAAAATTCATGGGCTGATCAAGTTTCATCGATTGAAAAGAACTAGTAAACTAAAGGGCCACATATGCGGAAAAGAGAGATGCGCATCGGTAAAGTGAGTGAGTAACGGAAAATTAATTTGAAGGTTATGAGAATGAAATAGCACTACCACTTCGAAAAAGCGATAGGATTGCTGACCCGTTTGCACTGATTTACATATACTGACGCGGGTTGTAATTCCAAGCAGTTAGTTAACCAGAATATATTCCGGTTCATGTAAAATAATGTAGGGAGCTCAATGCGGTATGCAAACATTTTTCTTGACAATGGCTAAATTAAAGCACAGCTACATGAATTTGGTAAGGTCTTCCGGGTTTGTTAGACCCAGCGGAAGAAGCACGCTTGTCAACAATTTGGACGACGCTACAGTTCATTTAATTTGGAGATATTGCCTCCCCAGTTGGTGCTCTGGGTGATTTTCAGAAGGCGGCAGCATACCTTCCTGGGACCGCTCAGTAGTTATTATACCATTAAGAGGTCTACGAATTTCTTCAGCCGTTCCTGATTGGAAGGTTGGCGTAAACTACTGACATTTCTATGTTGAGGGTCATTTTGAAGTACACGTTGTGTGGATGGATTACGACGTGCAATCTCAGTGTTAACCGCGATTCCCATTGGAGTGAACCTTTGCCTTTCGATCACGAAAACCCTAGCCGATGCAAATAGAAATTGCGTGTTGCCCGCCCGAAAACACCGTACTACATTATTAGTAATGCGACTGTGACCAAGTGTGAATAGCAGACATTAAATATCAGTAAGACCATTGATGAATAGAAACTGCCGAGTGCACTCCGTAACGGACTCGGAATGTTCGGAACAACCAAGATCGTCTTGTGCGAATGAACCGAGGTTACGTTTCTGGGATGGTGTCCCCCGAGCCTGTAGATATAGGCGTGCCCATAGAGATTGTGAGCACCTCCGCATTTGATCACATTGAATGGTGACACGTTCTTCATCAACCGACCCCACGCCTCATCAAGATTGCGCTGGAGGAAGTTGTGGTATTCCAACCCTTTTATCAGTCAAAACATCTGAGCATCGTCCGCGAAGAGTAGAACTTTTGAGGTGATAACTCTCTCTAGGTCGTCGGTGAATGCAAAGAACAGGAGAAGCCCAAACACCGAACTCCACGGCACGCGGCCCTCCACCGGAAATACATCGTGTAAGTATGTTCGTGATTTGCACTCCAAGTGTCTTTCGCCGAGAAAAATAACGATCCATCCCAATACTGGATTTCCGATGCCATATTTATGAAGCTCTTAAAGCAGGATGCATTGATCTAAACGAGTAAGCTTTATTGGAAAGTCCATGTATATGACATCCGCTCCAAACCCCCCCGTCAACTGATTCAATCTAGTTGTCGCGCGAAACCCATAGTTTCGTGGTACATGATCGATGTTGACGAAAACCATGCAGCTCCATTGCGATGATACCCAAGCATCTCAGATAGCCCACCAGTGCGTCTTTAACACTCGCTTGCATTGCTTGACGAGTATAGAGAAAAGCTACCGGGTGGTAATCAACAGGCTCAGATCGACTTCATCCATTGTACATAGAGATGAGTATACGGCACTCCTAGTTGTACACAACCATGTTTTCGACTAGCCAGTGCTGGAGGATCTAACAAACAGGCTAGGCGCATAGCTGCTAGCTGCAGTGCTTTCGAGTGGATGTTATCCCTTTCACAGGGTTATGTGTGCGCACTGTTTCCGCAGTTAATCTGGAGCTGATTACACTTGATGCTGGAGCAATAGAAGCAAAAATAGCGTTCGTGCCTTGTTTTCCTTGGAAGATGGCTGCTTTCGGTACCGGTAAGAGGATGGCCGCTTCTCTCACTGAATGTGTGTACCCACCAACCGTAGCGAGTGGCGAGACGCCGCACTGCAACGTAAGAAGGCTGTTGTGGTGTTCGTAAACAAGCTCGCAGGTGGAACGCATTAGGTTCGCCGGCTCTTGTTTTTGTCAACATGTCATCACGAAACCCACTGCATATAGTAGCTACACTGAGTTACACACGGTATCCAACTTTTTGAGCTGAGCTGGTTTTTGTCAACGAGCCATGTCCAATCGTTTAGGGCCATAGATTCCCCTGTTTAGGTTCACAAAAATAATTATGATTTAAAGGGAAGATGGAAAGCACTGGACGATGATGATTTATCGGCTACTAATGTAATGGTTTGTAAAATTACTTCCCATGCCAACCATGGGATACTTTCCGCCATGGAAGTCTAACTACCGCCTTCAACAAATGCGGACCGTGTCGTAGTACAAATAGGAAGCTTTCTTTTGAGCTCTGCACCAGGATAATCAGGAAAGCAAATTTAAACGAATAGCAGAATCACATGATCGTTTTGATTCAATGGACTGCACACATCTAGCTCATCAAACTTGAACCTCTCTATGTTGACCACTGAGTCTAACACTGACGGCGTATTCATTGTACTCAAAATGATCGAAAGGGTGCTGTAATTATCCAGAGATGCGCTAGACAATACCTGCAAACTGTTCACTACCGCTTACTGCCGTTTACACATCATGTCTGGCGAAATCACTTTCGGTGAAGGTGGTACTGTATTTACGACCCATCACGGCACGCAAATCTGGTATTAATCTGTGGTCCGTATATGTACTGGATATGAGATTTCGTTAAACTACAGACAGAAGGCACGTATCGTCTTCAACCAAACATAGTCTGCACCAAAGGAAATCAGTGACACTTGTTTATGCATCGTATTTGAATTTAGTCCCGATTCCCTCCACATTCTGTCATCCGCAGAAGCGACATACGTAGTAGAGTGATCTCAGCATCGATAATCTCACAAGTCAGTCACGTTTTGGCCTTCATAATTAAATCTGAAGGCTCTGAAGCTTGACGACGTAATACAAGCAACTTACTAACAAGGTCTTATGCGTGCGTTTGCAAGCAGCATGGTTTATCGGCCACTAAAATTGAGTTAGTGGATGCTGAGTCAAGACTGGCAGTTGTGCCAGCCGTTGAGAGGTAGGCCATTAGTCGCTTTTTGTCTAGTTGTTAGTCCTTGAGTTTTGGTTGGGTTTACCGCTGTAAAATGCTATCTGCGACTTAATAACCGCATATATTTCGATGCATTCCATCTTATCCTAAGATTAACATTGAATCAGTTTATTCACCGAACTATGCGTGATGAAAATTTATTGATAAGAGCGTCCCAGTAAATCCTCTGCCATCGGTGGCCGTTAACCTGCTGCAGCTATTTGCATTTCTATACACAGTCTACTGCAGATTTTAGATTGGTATTAAAAATTCAGTGTTAGCACTATCCGAAGCTCTTGTCAACCGTCTAAGCAATGATATTGTCGAGAGAGTGTGTATGGTAGCTGTAACACTATTGCACCTGTCATGTGTCTACTCATCCTGGGAACAGAAGGTTTGAAGCTCGGGAATTCCTTGAACAATAATATTCCGTTTGACTTCAGATTGGCGAACTTCGTCATCGTTGCTTATGTTTTGGAAGTTCCTTTTAAGGGATATCTGGAACAAGGCGCACTTCATGATTTGAGTTGCGGATCCGAATGGACAGCAGTAGAACGATCACTGTACTATCAGCAGAAAACAGTGTCACCCAAATAAGTCGATGTTAGGCGTAATGCGCTGAATTTGCATGACTAAGGCTCTAATGAAATGGCATATCTCCACAAATGGAACCCAACTGGTTGCTGTCGCCCTTAGATTCTCCCTTATTATATTGGACTGTGATCCCGGAACATTTGGTACACGACTGTTAAGACGTCACGCTTCCTTCTCTTGACTGCCTTTTTGATACTGTTTTCAACTGTTTGGTGGACTATGAAACTTGCATCACCCTAATGTTGCTCATTGTGGCTACCAGAGTCAGGGTTATTCTTTCCGGCATTTACATGGAAGCAGTTGATATGTCCGACGCCAGGCATTTCTCGAATGTGGACTGAATTTGGCTCAGAACTGCCATTAATTCCACAGACTTAATGTGCGCTACGTTCTTGAAAGGAGTGGGGACAGGCATGCTCGATGATTGTCTGATTAGAGCAGTGAGGTGGGCCAGAAGATTTGGAAGCAAAGGCTTTGCAGTGCGGTTGGCGTGTCTGTCTCCCTTGGCCTACAGGTGGATAATAAATTGACTGGTCTGAGATACAGGCCTGGCCATATTCACTTCCGATGGTCTAATCATAGTATTCAACAAATGCTCAATTGTCTCAGTCAACCTACCGTAAATTTTCAGGAGTTCACATAAAACAGCTGACAACTGGAGTGACTCAACATATTGGGCAAATTCAAAAGGCGTCGGCTATCTTGTTTTGCAATACTACTTAGACCGAATTCTCTAAACATTTAGGATGCATTACGACTGGGTCTACGTGGACTTTTGCGCTGCTTTCATATAGAAGACAGTGTGATATTCCGATAAGCGATTTTCCGAAACGCTGAAACGGCCGTCCGGCGTTTCTCTGGATGTTGTCAGCTGTAAGGAATATATTTTGAATTTTTCTATTTTATTGTATCTATTAATCGAAAAAGAATGCTACCGTTATCGTGACGGAGACAGCTAAAATGGTTAACTGTGTTGCATTAAACATTTCCACTTTCCAAATGATACACTTGGATGCCGGGCGGCTTCAAAGCAGTACTTGTTTCAAATTCAGTCTAACGATTCTGCTGTTTCCACAACAACCCTCAGTTTCTCTATTCTGGGACGTGCCATCTCTTATATATCTCATAAATTCTACACTTGTATCTAAAACACTGCGTAATACAAGGTCTTTCAACACACTCCGAGGTATCTCACTTCGGGGATCTTAGCTGAGATTGGGAGCTTTAGTTTTACGCCGTTACCCCTGCCTCTCATTCCTAGCTTCACCAAATGTGCTCTTGTGTCTGGTGATCAGCGAGTTTAGATCATAGGACGATGGAAAATAGATCCAAACCCAGTTGCACACTTTGCATCTACGGATCAGAAAACGCACCTAGCTTTCTTGTGGCTAATTCGTTTAGATAATTTTCAGGTTGACTCTGCAATAATGTGTCTCAAAAAAGGTTTTCAGGAACACTGCTGGATGTTGGCAGCAGTCACTGCAACTTTTAATTTTGGGTGAACCTAGCACTATCGACTGTTGGGAAACGAGATTATCAACGATATTTTAGCTGTTCAAAGCTTTAAGGCCAGCACAGTTGTGTATCATACTGCTCCTCTTCAAATCTATTAGATGTGACGAATTTCTACCTATACTATTAGAATGTGTCTGACCATAATGGCTTGGTGAGATTCAAAGAAACGGCTTAATCAGACTGTTAATTACGGCATATGTGACTACACCAAGTAGTGCCATGAATTTACGTTCGTAATGTTCATTCTTTATTTTGTTTGCCCGTTCTTGTATTCTACTACGATTCGATGTTTTCTTGGTTGAATCTCTACGTTTTACCGTATTGTGGAACAGTGATTTCCATTGGGTTCACGCTCCATGCAACTGAGTCCAGGACTTAGGCTACTTGTCAGTTGCAAGTAGAACAGCAAATATCAACAAAAAATGCCGATCGGCTTCGGGAGAGCGGTGGATAGTGACTGGCGAGATTTACTGGCTACATCTGGATTTCCAGTCGAATGACAGGCAGATAATACATCATGATTCACTTGGCGTTTGGATTCAGGTCTACACCACAATCAGTTGCCGAAGGATGACTAAAAATGTGACATACGATACCCTGAGTCTGTACTTTCTTGTCCTACGGTGCAATAATTGCTGGTACACTGTGTGCGCTTGAGCGCTTCCACCAACGTCAACTTCGGCAGTTAGTTTCCGTCTTGTTATAGTATACCTTGTCAAGATGAAATTGGTTCCAGGTGCATTTTGAACATGACATCTACAAATTAGTGCACCTGAATTCGTTCACAAGCAGGATTTACTCAAAGATGAACTCTTGTAGCTATTCAGAAGGTAATTATTATAAAGTTGGGTGAGTGAGTTGCGATGCGTGACATGACTTAACATGACGTATGGGTATGTGCAGCTGTGTTAATCCAGTAACGTGCCACCAAAGTTCAACTTTGATCCGGTTTAAGGAGAGCATTCCTAACCACTTGGTTAATCGTTCTGCGAAAAGCTGACAGAGATGCAGTGTCGAGTTTAGTTGTGTAGGTGACGGCTGTCAGTAGTGAACCTAACTAATCGGGTAAGGAATCTCACCTATCTGCTGTGCAGCTGCTTTTGGATTTGACCCAGATGTAATGCGCGAATGTTTCCACTAGTTGAAGGGGAAATTGCACAACCTTTATGTCAATGTGCTATCGAAGCCAGTCTAGCCGCTAGTGTCAAACAGACAGGAGCAACATGACTGACTTCCGTGCACCGAAGAATGCCCAGTATCCATCCAGGGCGTATAAATGACAGAACATTACAGAGCCAACAGAGAGCCATCTAGTCAATCAAATAATGGTTATATGAACGTCCATAGAGAAAAAGATAGCTGCTTATCGCCTGCAACACATTGCATGAGCAGATTAGGTTCTGTTTGGGATATTCAGGAAAAGCAGACCGGAAGCGGGATTATAACCGGATGTATGGACACTTTGTTGCAAATGGAATGTAGATGCGCCATGAGATAGACTACTACTGCTCATACGGGTGTCCTGAAAGTCTAGCATTTAGTATATAACATTTGTGACAAGTGCTACTTGTGAGGGACATATGTAGTAAATAGACACCACGGCCTAAGCTCGATTCCCACTTGTAGTTAAATGTAGTGGAGGAGTTCCAACAGTAGCAAAACCGGTCGTGAAGCCCCGTTGTTGAGTCAGGGAACATCCAGAATTCACCTTCAAACGCGATCCCAGTAAGCGAGATGACCCAAGTTCGCGTTAAGTAACATTTGCACCTCAAGCTAAATTTGTCTGTGAAAACATAGACACGCAATTTGCTCTAAAAGTTAGGCAGTATAAGGTCCAACTGTATGTGTGGACACATTGGAGAACGTCTACAATGACTCTGATATAGTAAGTGGAACTGTATGGTCCTCAGATCCCAGCCTTATACTCCAAAATCCGTTCTTTCTTTAAACCTGTCCAAACCGCAAGAAACAGCTCGGTCATTAATTTAGAAGCTTGAATAAGTAAAACTACGATTGGTACAAGTAAACTTGAAACCGTTGACCGTATCACCATACTTGCACACACCTTACGTTCCATCTGTTTACTTGATTTCTCCCGAACTGCCACGGACTTCGAACAGGCTTGTTGGTCCGAAAAACTTGATGCTACTCTCTGCCAGGCCGCATCAGGGAGGTGAATACACGTGTGTGGCGGAGAACGAAGCTGGTTCTACTAAAGCGACGACAATTTTGACCGTGTTCGGTAAGTACACCAACAGATACCCAGCTCACCATCGGTGTATATAGGTCAGTGATTTACATAGTGACGCTCTGTACGATCCATTTTTTTGTGTCTCCCAAATTATCATTCATTATTCATTATACACTTTAGCTGCAAGTGGAAAACACCTCAGTTATAGTGCGCAATACAAAGGGTAAGAAAAATACTTGAAACAGCGGCTCGCGGGCTGAGTCGCCAGAAAGCTAACAGCCGGATATTGTACCACAAAAAATCGTATTATGCCTAATACTTGTGCTCGTGGTTAGAGGGGGAGGCTGAGCGGGAGGGGGAGGAACAAAGAAAATCATAACACCAATGCTACTGAGGTCGGCTCCTAACCATGTCAACAAGCGTATCCAAGCAAACGCGTTCATCGTCCTTCATTATTAGAGGAAAAATTCATAGTATTGCGTGCGTAGAATACTGTCTGTTTGCTCAGGACTAGATGGGAGAACGATTAGGGTTCTCAACTAAATCCTTTGGTTCAAAAACCTGAACGCAAGGCACCGGATTTGACAGTGGACTACAAGGAGTCGGTTTTAAAGAATAAAGAGCCACGCTCACTGTAACCCCCAACCTGAAGGGCCAGGAGACCGAATTTGTCTGACCTTTGACCAAACTGGTAGAGTGGTGCTGAAGATGCAAAAAACGCGGCCCATCATAGCTCAATGGATCGCTGAGGCACACAAACCATCGCACCACGATTAAGTCCAGTTTAGTTGCGACGGTTATACCATATTACGATTCGCCATCCGAAAGGAAAGCGACCCGGCTTAACTCTACACGATCCGTCTTACTCGAGTAGCCGCGAAACTACTGTTAATGTAATATGGTGCCAACTAGAATGTGATCCATTAAAATCCTATTACAGATTTTGTGGTGTCATTATAAGTTTGGACGAAGGAGCTGAGTAATAATAATAATAATAATAATAATGTGTATTCTTGGTTTTACGAGGCATGCCCTGTTTGGCATGATCATATTTTACAAACGTTTCAGATAGTTTAATAGCATATGCCAAATGTCAGGCAGAAATAAAAGACGTATTTTTATCCGCCATTGTTTTGTAGTTCAAAGCCTTGTTTTGACGCAGAATATACCATGGCATCCTGACGGAGATCTCCTTGTGCGGATGGAATCGAATTTTCATTTCCATGGGCAAAGGATGAGCAGCAACTTTGATGATAGGAAAAACATTAGGCCTGAAATCATATCATGTAAACAGCATCTGATGTAGGTAAATCATTCACTATACATTGCGGTGTTCTAAAATTCGATTGGTTGATGACGGGGGTATATATTTAGTTTCATTTCAGCGGCTTCATATATGGGCCTAGACAGGTAGATTCGGGGGTTTAGCTGTTGTGTGTGAGGTGAATATGGTTGGTAGTAATCAAGTGGTGCTGATATTTTCAGATAACTGTATGCTAGCCGTGAGCAAGTAAGAGGAAAAATGAGAGAGAGAACTTGTTGAAATGGGGAGGAAAACCTTGGAAGCAAAATCGGTTAGCTTCACCTTGCTGCCTGACATGTTTCCATGGGAGCAAAATTGGAAGCATAGAAGAGTAAGAGAAGAAAGAATGATAAGAGTGAATGAAGCTGGATAGATTCAGTCCGCGTTTCCTTCTCAGCTCGCCCTTGTTGGTATGGCTGCAAGGTAGGCGGGGCTGGGTAAGCAGAATATGAAGGAGTAGAGACAACAGCGGTAAACTCCATCACAGTTTGCAATTCCCCTGCAGTCCACATTTGTTGGTGTCTGTGAGTTATACTTTCCCGAGTAAAAAGGAAAGCAGTTCGGGTGCAGAAGAGTGAAGGGAGTTCTGGTAATAATATATCTTTTTTCCAACACACCTCTTCAGAAAAGCTCAATCAAGTGAATGCAACGTACGTAGCACATTTGATGTATATTTGTTATCAACGCACTTAGGCCTCAAAGAATATTTTCGCACTGCAATTAAGTCGCAACATTGCTTTTACGCATTGCACCGTCAGGCAATCTGAAACTGCACTTTGATACAGTGGTTGTGAGTCGCATGCTGTTATTTCAATAGTGACGCTGTTCCATCTCCCAGTGTATCTGTTTAGACAGCATTTTCTTCAGACTTTAGATTTCCTTTGGAACACTGAAGGTTTCTGCTTGGTATTTCTGATTGCATAACTACCTACTTTGTTGAAGTGAATATTGATATTTGGCACGAAAACACGATTATGAATCAAATGAAACAGGAATATTAATCCTAGCTTCATGTGTCTCAACCACAGTGGCTCCAATTTTAGCATCTTACAACGTCCAGAGTAAAGTTAGACGATCAAAGAAAGCCTTTGTGAATGATCTCTGGAGGTTTTCCAGGCCCATGTTGTCACGTTTCCTGCTGCTTGTAAAGGAAATTGAACAGTACTCTAGTACAGGGCGAACACAGGCCTTAAAAAAGTGCAGTTTAGGTTCGCACATCGACTGATTTGAGATAATTTTTGCGCTTCTTCTTGGTATGTTCATTATGAATTCAACTTGTTCACCAAAATTCAGTGTTAGAGTTCCGGATGCCTAGCTCTTGTACGGTCTTATTGCTGGGGATGGGTTTACCATCTTTGTAGTGCATTCAGGGAAAGTTCGCACTTCGATGTTAACTGCACTTGTCTGTTGAGAAAGACATTTGCCAGTCAGTGCACCACGATTCTAAGTAGTTAGTTTCTTTGGAAATCTGATGTATGTGTGACTGGATTGCGACCCCATTGATAAAACACCCAAGTTCAGTCAAAGTAACCAATGAGCCCTTCCTAGTGCGTGTCTCGATCCATCCATGAAACTGGCACCCCAATGAAACAGAGGATAATCTCCAACTATAGTGACAAGTATGTGGAATGGATCACTAGTACACTGGTGCATGGGGAGATTAAGGGGCGCAATTTTATAACCCACAGGAAAACACGCACGGAAAAGGCTATTGAGATCACTGCTGTGGAGAATGGACTACAGGAAGTCGATGGCGTGTAGCGTTTGCTAGACCAACTGTCCTCCGTATCGTAAGTAGTTTAGGTGCAAACAAAAATGCTCATTTCTCAACCCATAGCTTATGCTACTTACTTCCGTCCCGACAAACGAAACACCCACTCATCTTCGCAAGTTCTGTGGGAAGTTGAGTGGCGCTGGTTTGTTTCTTTGTCTAAGGGTTGTGTGACGTGCACTGTTTGTGCGGTCCTAAAGGTTTCCTCTCCTTTGGGGAAGTCATTACTGCCTGCTGTTGACTGGTTACCGTTTCGCATCCTAGCATTTCTATGCTACTGATAACTAGCGCAGTAGTCTGCCTTTACGCCACCACAGTTTGTCACGATGTTCGGTGCGTTCACCACATCTGTTGGTGGAGCATTCTAATGTGAACAGATTCTACGAAAAACTTTCTACAATCCCAACGCGAGTGTTTAGTTACTGATTTCAGATGATGACTTCGGCATTGTGTGTAAGGGACTAGATTCAGTGGTGATTTGCATGGATGATCGTTTTCTATTACTATCCGTAGTGTTAGAATAAGATTTCAGCGAAGCCATCGGTATTTTTAGGAGAACATACCGTGTCGCGGAACTCAGTGATGCGGGAGTACAAGTGTCAGTCGGAAATTTATGTGCCATGTTCAAGCCTCACCCGCTCCCCCTCCTTGAGTACTATAAACAAGTATGTCACCTTGCATCCTTATTACACTGCCTCGAAGAGAGAGTTGGTCGCTGCTGGAGCGGTGGGTGCACGGTCTTAGTGACCGTTTTAGTCTCCATAACTAGTTTCACGCATCAACTGTGGAACGGGCTACGGCCCAGCCACCGCTTTGCTTACGTTTGGTACGCATGAATCTCCAATGAGACATATAGAAACGCTAGTGCTGTACATGTCGAAGGAGTGTGCATCAGCTCCGTTGGTGAAACCTGACTCCCATTCATATGCCTCCCGGTCATACTCCTTCTGGTTTACACTGGATATAGGCGTGTGCAACGCGAACCTCCCATGGACCCTCTGTAAGCGCGAGCGTCCAATGGCTGTCCTGTGGAGGCCACAGTGACAGCGAAATCAGGAACCGGATGCCGCCGACCATATATGTGGAGACGACATGAACTCCATGAACTAGGTAATCACGGCCATATAGATAAGCACCAGTTGAACGTCAGACAGCATAGCCCATTCACACTCTAGTCAGGCAGCGGAAACGAGGACCTTCTCTGTCAACCAAAGCGAAATCAATAAAGCGATTGAGGCACCTAAGTAGTGCCAGTTTACCGGTGGATGAATTGGTAGAATCGGTTGTTTGGAGGGAAACATGAAATCAACCACATGGCGCTACTTGCTCAGCAACAAATGATAGATGGAGCTCACAGACTGCACCGCAGACGCACGCACACACACAAGGAAATACGAGCGCTGATAACTCCGCACGACAACGGGAGCACAAAACCTTACGCTGTGAGCATGAGCTGAATCAAATTGGAAGGAGCATCTGCAATATACAGGGCATTCAGACAAAACAGTGGGAAAGGGGCGATAACACTTACTTTGCTTCAACGAACATTAGGGGAATTATAAGTGTTACAAGAATTCCAGCCCGAATGACTGAAATCTAATCAATCGGTAACAGCCTAAACTATAATACAACTCGATTGAGCCCCTGCTGCGATTAGGCAACCACTGAAACTGTGTAACAGTATTCTAGCAAAAACTTTAATGATGGTATCCGTTGGTCGGAAGAGGATTTCATCAACAGGCACTACGCGTTCAAACAACACGGCCCAATGTTGTTTCTCTGTGGATTGCTCATGGGCAGTTGAGTCATTTGATAGCAAGAAGAACGTCACCGGGCGCGTGTTTGTGTGGTGTGGCATAGCCAGCTCTGGAAGCAGACTGGTGCTTCAACTGCTAATTCATCTACTGTGCTTCAACCCTATATGTATAAGTAAGTCTGACAATGGGATTGTGGAGGTTACAGACGTTCGAAATGGAC